AGATCATCGTTGTATATAACCCTGGCATATTCACTTGGTACTCACGGAGTTAACTGTAATAGTTCCTTTATATTTGATGAAAATATTATTTAAGAAAACCCTTATTTCTTTTAGTAAAAATAGTAACCACAATAGTTCCTTCTATAATCACTTAGTTTAAACAAGCTATATATAATCTAATATCGAACGGATAGTTGATTGTGTGAATCTGCCCTAAGCCCACAACCAAACAAGGAACATGAAGTAAGGCGGAAAGCACACATCCAACTACCTATCGGGTGTTAATTATATATAACCCTGATGTATAAACTAACGTATTATAGAATTAACCACCTAAGGTCCTTTAAGTTATACTGGTTTAATAAAATGGATTAAACCCTTTTACTGGTAAGTTTCTAGTTTTGTCTACCAAGTGTTCTACTTGAAAAGTATGTTTTTGTACTAGAAAATGTTGTATTGAGTTAGTGTACTATGACCTGACCCATACCCGGTACTCCTTATGATTACTTAGTGTATACGGAATATATATATATATATATATATATATATATATATATATATATATCTAAGATCGAATAGATAGTAGGTTGGGTGAATCTACTCTAAGCCCACAACCAAACAAGGAACATGAAATGAAGCGGAAAGCACACATCCTACCACCTGTCGGATCCGATTAATATATATCCCTGATGTATAAACTAAGGAATCATAAAGTTAGCATTATAGGCCCCTTTCTACTGAATGTACTAGACTCGACTGTTCTGTTTGTCACTTGTAATGATGTAAGTTTTCCGTAGTTTATAACTATCTTAACTCAAAAATAGTTTGCATTAACTTTTAAGTGGAACTGTCACAATATGAAAGTAATGGGAAAAATGAAAGTATACATTGTTCTTTTAAATTGACATACTGAATTACTTGTTCATGTTACTAGTATGTTATGCAACGTTGTTCTATTGTTTAGACAATTTCTAGGAGTAATGAATCCTATACTCTTAATGCCTTTATCGCTACTGTTGCGAGTTTTGTATATATTGATGTGTTTTATTTATTAATATCCGGTACTTTGTAGATGTACCCCTCTATATAAATCTGGTACTTTGTAGATGTACCCCCTATATAACGCCGGTACTTTGTAGATGTACCCCATATATATAACTCTGGTACTTTGTAGATGTATCCTATATATATATATAAATCATGGAATATTGTAGATGCACCATATATATATATATATATATATATATATATATATATATATATATATATATATATATATATATATATATATAGATATATTATATATATATATATATATATATATCCTTTATACTACTTTTATTATCACCTTTTGTTTAGAACAACGAGTTAGTGATACGTTCCTTTCCTAGGTTACTGGGAATCATTAGTATAGTTATGTTAATCATGATTTGTTCTTCTGTTATAGTATACAGTATGTTCTTTCTGTTATCGTGTATTGTATCTTCCTCCCTGTTTCTCTTTATAGTATGTTCTCTATGTTATAGTGTATTGCATCTACCTCCCTGTTTCTCTTTATAGTATGTTCTCTCTGTTCTAGTGTAAATTAAACCCTTAAACTATACCTACTATAGTTTACTAGTATCTTTACTTTGAACTGTTATTGACTTGAAGAAAAGACTCATTTATCTACTAAGTTATGATTGTACTTTAAAAACGGAGTTTTGTAAACTGTAAAGTAACATAACTTTAAAAGAGTTTTTGAAAAGTTTTGATCACTCATGAACACATAAGCAATCCTTTAAAAGATGTTTATAAAAAAACATTTACACAATTATCATTGTGTTCAACTTGTATTCCCCCCCTTAAAAGCATTTAAAACAGTTTAAAAGATTGATTATAGGGGTATGAACTCACCTTATGTGGGTGATTCAATCGAATGTGCGCGTAAGGATGAGAAGTTCCACGAATGAAGTCCCGAGACACAAACGAGTCCTAAATGACATATATGGCACATATTGGCATGATTTGGTGTTTAAAAGCAACTAACATGCAAGGAAATACCCTTAGGGACTAGGAAACACTTGGACTAAGTGTTAGACTGACATGTGATTCAACAAAGGGGTGTATACGGCCACAACTTGGTGTGTACGGCCATGGAGTGTACGGTCGTACACTCATGGTCAAACATGTATAAGAGGGTCTTTGAAAAATGGGAAAGCTAGTGGGTCGATTGCTCATCAGGAATATGAACTAGATTCTCACTTTGGAGGCCATTTTGGGGTGTTTTGAGGGGTGTACGTCCATGCAAGGGTGTACGGCTGTACACTCCTTTTGTCCCAGCTAAAAGGTCCTTTCTAAGGTGTTTAACAAGATTTCCTAATGTATACTAAGCATACGGAAAGAATACTTACGATTTGGAGGCACAATGGAGGGTTCACGGCCACCAAGAACAAGTATATGTTCTTGGTGAAAGATGAAGATCTTGAAGATCTACCCAAAAAGATGATTTCCATGGATGAAATCAAAGGGTGTTACTAGGTTAAGAAGGATAACAACTAATCAAAAGGAAGAAATGCTTACATTCTTGAAGATCGGGGTGAAAAGCTTGATGATAGTTGAGAGAAAACTCGAGTTCTTGACTTGGAAACTGAAGAAATGACTAGAAATGAAGGGGATCCTCTACATATGGGGGAGAGTGTACGGTCAACATGGGTATACGGCCATACACTCATGTGTATGGCCGTACACTCCCTTGGATGGAGTGTTCGGCTCGAATTCAACTCGAAGAACTTTAGCTGACACTTCCCTGAGCCCATAACTTGATTGTACTGAGCTTCGAACCCTCAAACAGACTCTAAACAATGCTAACTGATAGCAGAAACAGGTTTGACACTCGGTTGAATTGAATGGCTGGACTTTCAAGGCAAAATTTTCGGGTTGTCACATGGACCCCGCTCCCAGGGGCGCTGCCCCCGGACCCCCGTTCGTTTAGGAACTTCCCCCCTAAATAACAGTGTACTTTGAATCTTGAATAAACTTAAACAAGTGTGCACTCCGCACCTTCCTTACTTGTTTAATATTCATCAAAATTGATTTTGGTCAACAAGTCAACCCATGACACTTAAATACAGTTAGTGAAACAATTCACCAACAAGAAGTTTGTGATATGGCGCAATTATGAATGTGTATGCTTAGCACATCGCCACTTCTCCCATATCTTTACAAACCGAGGAAGTCATAATGGTCGAACCAACAATCCACTTTCTTATCGCTCAACTCCAAGTTGACATAAGTATAATGTGTGCAAGACATGAATTGAAATGGATATTCACAATTAGTGTTAAAAGTCGCAATTACTTTTTTTATCGAGTTGGTATTGTTAAATGATAAAATCACTTAATTTTTCAACTTCTTAAATATAATTACTTTTAAAAAATTTATATAAAGTACACACCCATATGTGGCTAACGAAACAAACCGAGGCAATAATATTATTAAGAGGGTGTTTGGCATTGTTTATTGATTTATTGGATTTTTGAAAAAGTCAATAAATTTGAAAAATACTTCTTGAAATAATTTTTTTATGAAGGTATAAAAATGTGGAATTGAAAATTAAAGAAAAATTGGCTTTTTGAATGACTTTTTACCTTTTAAAAGTAAAATTACCTTTATATCCTTAAACTATCCTAAAATGTCCACCATTTTTCTTTTTTTTTGTCATTTTAGATGTATAAATTAAGTCAAATATGTTTTGAAAAACAATTTATTTATTTATTGGTTTTTGCCACCATGAAAGATAGACCAAACACTTAAAAAAAATTTCCTATCAACATAACTCAATAAACACTTTGGCCTAAAACCACTTTTAGAATTAAATAATTAATCCCAAGCACCCTTTAAATTTCAGGATATTGTGTCAAAAACAAGTCTCAACCAATGTTGTAAAAATCGTTAGGCGGTACCAAGTTAGTTGACTAGCAACTAAGGACTAGTCGGTCTAGTCGGCGACTAGCCGAAGACCTTATTGTAAATTCGTTAATTTTTTTTTAAATATGCCTAATATAGTAATATCATAACAATATTTATAAATATTGTTAATATCATAAGTTAAAATCATTAACATAATATTGATCACTTCTCAAAGAGTTTCTATTAAAAAAGCTTCTTCAAAGTATTAAAAATTCACCGACTTCTATAGTTATAGTCATTGTCTAGGTGATGATTAATCGTTAGACACTTTCTAATCGGCTAGATAGCGATTAGGGACTAATCAAAGATTAATTGAAGCCTAGTCGATATGTTTACAACACTGTTGTGAACTATCTTGGATTTAATTTTTAACCAATTCTTATTTTTTACAAATATTGTTTCTATAAAAGTGTAGTCTTTCAATTCCTTTATTCCAGAATGCGTAATCTAATTACAAAAAACGATCATGCATCCGTGGATTCAAGTGTAATACGTGTTAGCGAACTCAAGTGGGTGATTAAAATCATAATAGTTCGAGACTGTTGTCCAACCCCCGATCCACCCGCTGGTTAAAATGGCAAAAGTAAAGCGTACACATAATCATAAATCATAATATCTTTACAATTCTATATATATGTGCCTTGTACGATATAAAATTGAGGTAGGCCAAGGCCAATCTGGGTATATAGTGATAAGTCATCCTCAAGCCATAAACAACATTATCGTACTTTGTTTTTCACGGCAATCCATTGTCTTTTAATTCCAATGTTGTACTTTTTTTAACGTCATTACATCCCATGTTGCATTAAAAACTCCAATTATCTTACCCCACATCACCCTATGAATTATCTTCTTTGTCCTCTCACACACACCAAAACACTAAAAACCGAATCGAATCTTATATCTACATATATTATCTATAAATTCTATCTAAAGTTGCATATAGATACACACACTCACCCACACACATACCCACGCACGCGATTTTCTCAACACAATAATTAATCCGTTCTCTTTCTCTTCCTGTGCAGCTTTATTTGAGTGAAGACATGGGGTTGCACCTAGTGGCTCTGGCGAAGGTGAAACTCCTAGGGGTTTCTAAGCTCCATGGTGCACCATTTGTAGCCATCTTGGCATGGCCATTATTTCTAAAAGTAGTATTGAGTTTGAGACCTTTTCAAAATCTTATCATGTCTGTGGCACAAGAGTCGAGGCTTTTTGTGTTTCAGTTGAACCAGATAATCGGTTTTCAAGCTGCTGGTAGATCTAGAGCTGATCATGGATTTGATGGAAATAGGAGAAGATGGGAGCGAGTTATCCGATTAGTGCAGGAAAGGTTGCCGAATGTTGGCCGGTCGATGCCGTTTGAAGATTATGACCAAAGCTTGCAAGCTCTCTCGATTGTAGCCTTTTGAGGTGCCCTATTCATTTCATTCTAGTAATAGTTAATTAATTTATCACGTTTATCATTTAATTAGTACATTATACATACATATACATCGGATTTTAATAATATATTTTGAACTTTCCTGAATACTGATGTACCTTGTTTTTTACGTACATAAGAGAATGAGAACAAAGTTCATGGCTTTTCCCAATGCAAAAGAAGAGGACAGCAGGGGTGCATTGATTTTGTTTTTTTTTTTTTATCATTTGTTATCCCTTGTATCAGTTTTATATATGTGAAGCTACCAACAAGAGATTACTTCATCGCACAAGAAACCTTTTTGATAATCGACCTCACAAAAAATGTTTTCAGAAAGATTCATTTATAGAGCTTAAACAAACTGGTGATATATATAGATTGGTCAAACGAGAGCAAATTGTATTCAAAAGCTTACAATCTTTTAAAAAAAGAACATGAGTATGTTACGAGATAATTAAAAAATTGACCAAATATATGTGCATTAGCTGCGCTTTTCAAAAATATTATAAAATAACCATATAATTCTAGAAAATGCCTTAGCAAATTCTCTGAGTTTATTATTTATTTATGGAAAATGTTTTCATGTGGGGTTACACAAAACACCATCGTACTTTCACACTTAATTATTGCCTTTTTTTTTCCGTGCAAAACTTTAAGTTGAAGTACTCCGTATACCATCGTACTTTCGATAACATCTCTACTCCGACATTCAAACACCGGTTATTGAGATTTTACATCATTCATTCAGTGACTTTTATTGTGGTGGTGCTGTTGAATACACGGATAAAGTGCTTAAGTGTGATCAATAATTACAACTTTTATGATTCAAGAAAAAAGAATTTATTTCAAATATTGTTAGACATATAATCCTCACTTATTACATAAGAGAGATTTTAGAGTTAACCTTTTCTGTTGACGAGGAAGATGAAGATATTTCGGCTCAAATTAAAGTTGAAATGATGGAAAGATCAAAGATATAGGGGTGAGTATGTTGTTGCAATCCATCCATCATAGTGAACTTACTTTCATCACGAAACACTTTATATCATTCTGTACTTTCGGTTTAATGTTGTTCCTAGATGATGAATTATTTATATAACCTTTGATTTGGTGCGTTTACTAGCAGGTGCATTATGATTTAAAAACAAAAGCTTTTTTATTGTTTCCACATCCTCAAGTTCCACTTATTTTTCCTATAGATCCTCTAGAATGGACTCCGATGTCATATTTCACACTATTCAAACTAAAATTTGCTTTGTTTATACTAAATAATAAGATTCTTCCTTTAATTATTATAGAATGGACTTTAATGATTTTCTCTTCACGATCTGCCAATTTATATTTGCTATGTTCATGTTTATTTATAGCTATAGAATTATGAAAATCAACCACACAATTTGTGAAGGATCAGTATTCAATATATGATAATGTGTACAACACTAATTTAGGATAATTATCAGAAATTAATTGGATATACATAATCTTTTACAAAATACAAATATTCATCTAATACCCCCCTCAATCAAAAGGGAGATGTGCCAAGACGAAACATGGTACAAAATGTTTCAAATTGAATCTTTGGCAAACTCTTCGTGAAGATGTCAACGACCTGGTACGAACAAACTTGGTATATAATTTTCCTGATGCACAACAAGAAATATATGTTTTAGGGACGACACCATTAGAGACGACATGCAGTTTTTGGGACCACAATAGACTACACACGTTTTTGTCGTCGCTAAAGAGTAATGTCGTCACTAATGAGGGCGTTGCTAAAGGTTTTGATTGGCGATCCGTGTGATTGCCTCTGGATCAATTTATGCCCAGGGGCGTAGCTAAGCTTCAAGAAGGTAGGTCCTAGGACCTACCTTTTTTTTTTTTAAAATACAACAAATATATATAGAAAATATGAAGGACCTATCTCATTTTTGCTAAAAGACCTACCTATTTTAGTTTTATTTACATAAGGAACCATGTGGTTTTTGGTTCTAGATTCGCCACTGTTTATGCCCCTCGATTGCATCCCGATCCAAGGGCTGGGATTAGCTACTGTTCACAGCAATAGCCACGACGCTATTTGTGACGACAATGTCGCCTCTAAAGGTCGTGAAAAATGGGCACATAAATTTCCCTCCAAATCGTCGTCTCTAAAAATCAAATGGCGCTGCTAAAGGCGTCGTCCCTGAAGGGCTCCCCCTTTTGTTCACCCCCAGGTCGCAAAACCTGATTACGCTGCCAGTTGTCTCTCATTTTCGGTCGACAAGTGGTGAAACGTTTTTCGGGCGACGTCGTATTTTCCATCGCAGAAAGCGCTGACGCTCCCGACTTCTTTCGCCGGAGGGATTTCCAGCTTCTCACCAGCGTTCTAGTTTCTCCACAGGCGACTATCATCACCTCATCTCGCCACCGTCTCCGGCGAACTTCTCCACCGGCGAAGGTATGCTTCCCTTTCTCATTTCCACCGTCTTTTCTCTTTCTCTTTCTTTTTCTAATTTTGCTGATTTTGATGGTTTTAAGGAGATTCCTCCGATCTCCGGATATTGGAACCACCGCATCACCGCCACTGTGCCACCTGGCAACGATCACTACCGCAGCTCCACTTTTTTCAGCTCTACAACCATAGGTGCCTTCATTTATATGTTCCTTGTAATTATATGGAAAAAGTATAAATTAACACTCTTAATTTTTAATACTAGTTTTATGTTATTGTTGGAAAAAATATTGATGTTATGAGAAATTTAATGGTTGTTTTCAGGACTTGTTACCAAAAGAAAAGCCTCGCCATGTTTGTGGTCGTGGACTTCCAGGTATTATTTTTACCACACTTGAAGTTTTTAGTTTATGTTTCATTTTAATTGTCTACATATCTTAGAAATTTTTTATATTTCATGAATCTTGAAATTGATATAGCTCACATTTGTTCTTTTATTAACCAAAACATCTATCTTCCATGAATGTAGAGGAGGTATTGCATGGTATCGCTGCAGGCATTGACCTCTTTGACTCCACATAAGTAGGTTTCAATAACTACTTTGACCTTTTGTTGATTGTATGCTGATACAAGTGTTTGAACAAGTATATTTACCATATTACCCTTGGAGGCTTTGTGCTCGTCTTCCCACTTGATGGACAGTGTAAACTTGTGTCTGACCCTGGGCTAAGTTTTTTTTTTTTTGAACAACAAGAATTTTAAAGAAAACAAGCTAGCAATAAGCTAGAATTACATGAGGTTGATACATTCTCGTGAAGGGTTAAGACACCAATCGACCCAGTTAAAGAAATAACCTTTTCTAGATCGGTATTTAATCCATTCGAAGGTCAACATCTTCACCTTGCTAGCCAACATACGACAACTCTTAACCTTGCCATTAAATATTTTATCACACATGGGCTAAGTGCTATGGTTAGTGATGGCACAAAGATAAATCTAAAAGCAACCGTTTTGTAGGTGTATTATTACATGACATGTCTCATTTATAGTTAATTAATTATTATATGATAGAAAAACATTAATATTAACTTATTATTTTGGTGTAGGAAAGATGCATCACAGATTGTTGATGGGTGCATCTACTACACATGCCAGAACCATACCAAAGCATACATCAATCGTTTGCTTAATGTCCATGAGATGATGGCTCATATTCTTCTTAGAAATGTAAAAAACAAATCCTTTTTAATTTATTACTTTTGTTATTCCCAACATATTTTTTAAAACATATTTTTTGTTCTTGTTGTTCTCGCAGACATAATACACGTCACTATCTATCCTTCTTTGGAGTTATTAAAGAAGCAATTATAGAAGGGAGATTTGAAGAATTAAGGTAGAATTTCATTGAGAAGAGGCGTGGTCATCTTTTGGCAGCTTCACAAAGTGCTTGTGAATTAGAAACTTCAGCAAGGTTAAGGTAGGTTTGTTTATGATCAACAAACTCTTACCCTCCTTATTTTTTGTTTTATGACCTTATTTTAAAGTAAAAGTATGATTAGAAGCTTCTTTTTCAAAGTTAAAATCAGATCTGCTGATGGTAATTTTCAGGGCCTAGTGATCTTTGGAAAATGGACTTGAAATATAGAAATTTGGGATGAGTTTGTTAGTCGACTTAAAAGATAAAATTTTGGATCAAACACACGCATAGTTTAGTAATTAATTGTTATATTTAACTAAAATTGTTATTATTACTAAATGCATTCAACCAAATACTTCTTAAGTGTCGCATGAAATAGTAAATGGGTCGAAATGTGACCTTGAGCCTTGAGGCGAGTAACTGTCGACATGTTTGTTTATTAGTAACATGATCCTCAACCAATAATTGCAGTCTTTTTACATGTTCTTCCTTTAGTTAGAGTACAATCAACTTAATTTAATCCTTATAATTTTGTTTTTAAGTACTTGTTGTTTTCACTCTCAGTGGCATGTCACTAATAATTCCGCTTATTGTACTTTTATTACGGAGTCACCGCACATAGGACACCATCCACTTTCAATCTTGAATCTATGAAAGTCTAAATAGAAAGGATTATGCACATATAAATAGAGACGACACCTTTAGGGACGACATTCACCAATTGCGACGACTTCTATCTCCGGGAAGCCTTCCCGGAATATCAATTGAGACGACACTAATAGCGACAAAGAAGGCTTTTAGCGACGACTGCTATTAGAGACGACGTTAACTGCGACAACAATTGAGTATTAGCTACGAGGTAATAGCGACGACCCTTTAGCGACGACATGTCGTCGCTAAAGTATTAGCGACGACTTTAGGCATTAATTGGGACATTTTTCGTCGTCGCTAAAGGTAATGTTTTTTGTTGTGATGTTACAAGTTCTCGGATGAAATGATACTAAGATCGATATGTTTTGCACGTTTATGAGAAACTGGATTTTGGGTCATAAATAAAGCACTTTTATTATCACACAAAAGCTTTGGTCGATATGGTGGTAGTGCACACAACTCTTGCAAAAGATGAGTTATCCAAACCAGT